CTCTTAACTATAGAGAATAAACTAAAGGCTACCAGAGGGGAGGTTGGCCATCTATATGTCTTCTTTGGAAAAATGTCTATTCATGTCTTCTGCCCATTTTGTAACTGGGTTATTTGTGTTTTGGGGTGTTGAGTTCTATAAGTTCTTTATATATTTTGGATACTAAGCCTTTATCAGATATGTTATTTGCAAATATCTTCTCCCATTCTGTAGGTTGCCTTTTAGTTTTGTTGATTGTTCCCTTCACTGTGCAGAAGCTTTTTACTTTGATGAAGCCCCAATAGTTTATTTTTACATGTGTTTCCCTTGCCTCAGGAGACATATCTAGTAAGAAGCTGCTACGGTTGATGTCAAAGAGGTTACTGCCTGTGTTCTCTTCAAGGATTTTAATGGTTTCCTGTCTCATATTTAGGCCTTTAATCCATGTTGAATTTATTTGTGTATGGTGTAAGAAAGTGGTCCAGTTTTATTCTTTTGCATGTTTCTGTCCAGTTTTCCCAACACAATTTGTTGAAGAAAATGTCTTTTTTCCATTTGATATTTTTTTTCTTCTTTGTCGAAGATTAATAGACCATATAATTGTGGGTTCATTTCTGGGTTCTCTATTCTGTTCCTTAGATCTATGTGTCTATTTTTGTGCCAGTACCATACTGTCTTGATCACTGCAGCTTTATAATATAACTTGAAGTCCGGAATTGTGATGCCTCCAGCTTTGCTTTTCTTTTTGAAGATTGCTTTGGCTATTTGGGGTCTTTTGTGGTTCCATAAGTAAAGGGGTTTAAGAGTACACATCATGATGAGCACTACATTATACACTTGAAACTAATATAACACTGTATGTCAAGTATACTGGAATTAAAATAAAAAAAAACAAAGCATTGATATTTAAATAAGGAAGCATCATTTTCTAAAAAATTCTGTTGGATTATTATCAATGTATCCATGGATTCTTGGTAAGTAAGACATTGTCATAAGACCTGTCAGTGGCTTTCCAGATGGAATTAATTATCATCATCATAAGAGGAAATTGAGAGAAAGGGGTCCCACCTGTCGCTGATCTCCCAGTTGGTGGGGAGCAATCAGAAATTCCTTAATCTGTGAGCTTACAAAGTCTATATCTTGGCAGGATGCTAAGGTGGTTCCCAAGGCTTTCCAAAGGAATTTCTAGAAAACAAAAGATAAGCAACAGTATGTTAAATGTTGGAAAGAAAAACTCCAATGAAAAGTGGAAAGCATTAGAACAGTCATCCAAAGGAAGGAAATTTGGGTGATTTAATGACTACTTACTAAACATGTACTTCAAGTATTATCTCTTCCTGAAAGTGTTTTCTTCCCCTGCCTGCCCTCCCCAGGCTCTGTCCTTACCTGTGCTTTTTTGTATTCCTCTATGCCTTGTGTCATGCCATTATAATACCTTTTACTTCATAGTAACGCTCAATTTTCTTATTTGTCTTTGTGCTCAGAATTTCAGTTCTCCGTAACAGAGGGTCTTATTGATTACTTTCAGCGTACAGTTCCTGGTAGCTAATAAATGCTCAATAAATGTTTTTAGAATACACATGTCAATGAAAATAAGGTTATTTGAAGATGATGTCATCAGATAGTCTCAATCTCTGAAGTATATTAACTTATTTTATAGTTTAGGAGATTTTAACCTATAATAGTTTTGAGAATAATACTTTGTAACTTCTACTATTATCTCTCTCTCAGGAGTAGAGTGAGTTGTCCAGAAGTGCTATAGAATGGTGTCCAGGGTGAAGGAGAAAAGTCATACAGGAACTTTTACATACATGTTGTGTCTTTAGCAAGGGACTCTGAGTGAATTGGGGAGGAAAAACTCCCAATGAAAGAACACTGGCAAGAGAGTATGTGGGAAATCATTCTGTGGCTTCCACATCCCTTAGAATTGGTGAGAATGTTGGATTCATTATGCTAGCCCTAACACAGATACTTCTGTGATGTCCAGATGGAGAAAAGGCAAGCAGGACAGACATGACTTCCTCTTCTCTTTCATTATGAGCTATACAAGATTTAGAAGTTAAAGCTGAGGGAACAGGGTAGCCCAAGAGTGACTTCTGTTTGAACACCACAACACATGCCTGGATGTAAATATGTGCATGTATATGTGTGTATACACACACGTGTGTGTTACATATAGATAGATCTATATCTTGTGGAGGTAAGATACAAGGAAAATATTCACAAGAGAAGATACTTGCCATATGGCTAGAAAAATGAGGTCATGAAGTCCTAATTTGTTTTCTGAGACTCAAATCATTTGTAGCTATATAATATCAGATTGCCATCTCCTTATTTAAAATGTCCATCTTGTCACACACAGGAGAAAAAACTGGCCAGTTGCCAGTTTATTCCAAGGACTCTGCAGGGCTTGAAGGATTGTAGTGATTGAGTGATCATTATGGATCAGAAGGAATCTATGGCACAGGAGGAAAGGAAAAACTGGTAGCAACCGGAAGAGTTCGATTAGTACACTCAGGAGAAATTGTACAGATCAGTCCAGCTAGGGGTGAGCGGGGTACCCGAGGTGACAGAACAGGAGAAACAACTGACCGAGGAAGAATCTGATGAGGCAGCACCCATTGCACTCTTGGGTTTCCGGGCAAAAATAATGTAACTATGATGAGAAAAACTGTGTACCACACAGGAGTAAATATTAATTAGGCCTAAAGCTGCTAGAGTCCACGTAACCCCACCTTGGAGGAGGGACAAGGGAGAGCCTAGAAAAGTCCTGTGCTGCAGAAAAAAACCCTGATGTCATGAAGGGCACTTTTGTGTAATGGGTTGGACTCCAGTGTCCCCAGTACTGTTGAGCTGTTGCCTCTTGGCTGATGTTGGTCAGATTCAGTGTCTTGTGCATTCCTCCTTTGAGACTTGGCAAGGAATCTTAGAAATCAGGAACCCCGAACTGGGAAAAAATGTGGCCAATTGCAAAAACAGCCAGAAACTTTCTATCTCACCTCTATCCATGCCTCCTTACTGTGAGAGTTTGCAGCCCCTTCTTTTACTATAGTCTATTTTGCCACTCCTCAAATCTGGGCTAGCCTGGTGACTTGCTTTGGCCCACAGAATGTGGCAGAAGTAATAGTGTGCCTCTGCTGAACCTAGACCTCAGGAGACCTTGTGTACTCCATTGCCACAACCATGAGAACAACCCTGGGCTGCCCTGCTGGAGGAGGAGAGACCACAAGGAACAGAAACAAGTTGTCCTAGTTGAGATTATGGCAGACCAGCAAATCCCAAGTATATGCCGGTGGGACCAGTTGAGCTCAAATGACTGCCCAGCTGAGTTCAGCCCACACTGTCAACCTGGAAAATTGTAAATGAAGCAGGTAGCTATTATTTTAAGCCACTAGGGGTAGTTTGCTATGCAGCTAAAACTAATTGGCACACTCTTACTTTCCTGTTGTTAAGTATAATGGCTGAGAGCCATTTAAGCAGCTCATGGCTTGAGTTGCTCTGCCCATCCATATCACCATACCTTGGACTCATCTCGTGAATCTGGAAGCTGTTGGATGGATGGTATTACATGAGATGCACAAGTCTAGTTTGTATATGTGAAGATGAGGCATTGCTCACCAAATCCTCTTGATGAGCGTGTCTGCAGGCTTGACAGACCAATTTGGAGAACCAGAACTCTACCAAATTAGAGAATCAATCAGTGAGAGGAATTTTGAATATTGAATAGGAGAGTTGAAAGTTGATAAAAAAATAATTTGTTGGGACAGACACTTACTACTAGAACTGATGAGTTAGGAAACGTTTTTCCAGGAAAAAAATTAGAAATGTAACCATAATGATAACCTTGATCTACTTTTTATTGAGCACAAGTCTTGAGCCAGGCACATATTTCACTAGGGACTTTATATACTTTATCTTGTTGAACCCTTATATCACTACAATCCTCAGAGCTGGGTGTAATTTCCATTTTAGATGAATATACTGAGGCTTCAGAGAGGTTAAGTAATTTTCCTACACTTACATATGTAGTAAGTAGCAGAAGCTGGATTCAAACCCCGTTTAGAATGAATGGCTCCAACGCAGAGGGCTAGGTAGAAGCCATATGGGGATAAAGGAAGGAGAGAACTGGCTTTTGAGCATTCTTTTAGCTCTAAGTTTTTGTTAAATTGTAGCAGATTGTTTCTTGTAGCCAGCCTCACAAAACTGGCCCAGTGGAAACCAAGATATAAATTGACGTCAAACCAGTGCCGTGACAGGGACTACTATTTGCCTTCATTATCTATTTTTCTTCCTTCTCTAAAACAGAACGCCTGAATTTCAGCCGGGTATATGTCCATCTCAAAAGCACTAAACTACTCAGTTTTCCTTGCAGACAGGTTGCCGCCCTAGGAGTAATTTTTGGTCAAATGTGAGGTGAAGAGGAGGTAGCATTTTCCTAGCAATTTCTCCTTCTTTTTGGTGGTAGTACAGACAAATTGGAACTTGAGCAGCCATTTTAGGTCATAAGGTAGGATGTGAAGTCCCTTAGTTGAAAAACCAACCTTCTCAAGGGAGGTGTTGCTGTAACTACCCATTTGCTCCTTGAAATCTCGACTCAGTTGAATGGTCCAGGCTATGTCATTGATCTTCCATAGAGATTCTTTGAGCAACTGTTGCAGGAAGTGGAAGTTAGATATGAATACAACTGTTTAGTGTGCTTTCTTAGTACTTTTTTGTTACCTTATTTTTTTTAAGTATAAATATATAATATATAATAAATGGAGTTATTCCTTTTCCCATTTAAAAAAACTGGTTATTTTGGAACCTTTCCTCTTATTTTATTAAAGTTTATTTATTTATTTATTTTTAGTAATCTCTACACCCAATGTGGGGCTCGAATTCACAACCCAGAGATCAAGAGTCACATTCTCCTCCAACTGAGCCAGCCAGTCTCCCTTCTCTTTGTTTATTTTAATAGCCATATGCTGTTATGTTCTGAATTCCCATTAAGAACAAGTTACCCTGAAGGTGAAAGTAACTCCATGTAAGTGCCTTCCTTTTTCCTCTTAAATAAAAATTGCCCAAAGGCTTAACATAGAAACTAATCCATTTTGAAACTTAAATTGAAGTTAACACTTTTCAAGTTTTAAACAGATTTGGAAAAACTTCATTTGTCAATGTTAGTTTGTTTTATTACATACTAAAAGAAAAAGAAAGGGACATTTTTTGAATAAAGAAATAAAATGTCTTGAAGAACCAATTAAACGTACAAGTACATTTTGCTAACTTCAACTCTAGTAGCTAAACATTCCTGGTTTCACCAATTGTTCTGAGCCAGGGCCTCAGTCAGCCATCTGAACTTACTTCCTTCTTCACTGAACAATACATAAAAAGGTGTTTTTGTCTTTTTGGAGGACAAAATCCATTGCAATTTCTAAAGTCAATTATTTCTCCTGCATTTTCCCTACTTTAAGCTTAGAAAAGGACGTTTAATGTCAAAGCCCATGGAGATTTCTAGGTATTCTCTTAGTAAGAACTTGTTTGGTGAGTGGGCTCTTTGAAGAGAAGAAATTAAACAGTCTTGGAAGCCTGAGAGAAGGCAGCACATGCAAACAGTTTTGGGAGAAGGCTAAATGGAAGTATACTCAAGATTGGAAGAGGGAAAAGAACGTTCTCGAGGCTTCCCTCTGGAAAGAGAACCTTCCTTCATAGTAAGAACAGTTACTTTAAGATGGTAGCAGGGGAAAATAAGGTAGGAATTTTGAGGAAGAGAAGGGGGAAGATAAAAGCAGCATGAATACAGAAGGAGAGGTGGGTGCTAGAATTAAAGACCAGGAAAGTACAGCAGTTGCTTTCAAATCTCATACTGGGTAAGAATCACTTGTGGGAGTCTTTAAAACATGCCAGTTCTCAGGCAGAATCTCTTAGAGATTCTGATTCTGGAAGGGGCAGGAATGGAACATGGAGGTGATGAGGACAGGTCACTAAAACTTGACATTTTTAAGAAGCCATAGTTAAATTCTATGTAAACGGCTTATGAACTGAGACCCTGCTAGGTTAAAAGCTCCCTTCCTATGGGCTCCTTGACCTCCTGTAGGCTCCTGAAATAAAAATCCTCTCTGTAGAGCCAATGTCAGGCTCCTACATGCCAATTTACCATTTTGGGGATTTGGGACCTTTGCAACCGGTTGCAAACTGGTTGCAAAGGTCCAAAAAGTTTATGGATGACTTTTTTTTTTCTGGAAAAATGGTATAATGTGGCCCTTTGGTTTTTACAAATCAGGAAAAAATACGGTGAGAAGCAGAAAGGTGAGGAAACAGAATTGTATTTAGAAGCACAGAAGTGGAAATGATGTCAATCTGTGTTTCTTTATTTAAATGGTAAAAGCATGCAATTACAAGGAAAGGAAAAAACTGGAAATTAGAGAAGATTTAAGAAAGACACAGAGAAAAATATTAGTAAATGAAATCTTCAATACTATCTTAAACTCTTAACCAAACTGAAGACTAAAGATTATTGTTCAAATTGTGGTGATGCAGAGACCGTAATTCTTGAGCGATCACTTCTAACATTCTAGTCCATTTCCTAAGGAAAGGAAATGTTGTTTACTGCCCCTGGGAATCTGGATCTTTTTTGTTAAGATGGGTGACTCTAGCTGATTTTATCACCCCATCATCAACGATTAGTCTAGAAGCTACCCTTACCTGAAGTAGCATGGTTTCCCATAGCACGATGCTAGTATTCTTTCCTAGAAATAGAAATTAAAAATAGAAAATAGAAATAGAAAATAAATTCAGGACCCTGTTTCTCCCTTGCCAGGTCCCCTGTGGATGCTGGAGCCCCACTTCAAGCTTTACAGAGGATGATTATTTCAGATGAAATTTACTATGTTGCCAACTTTAAGTGCTAGTCAGGCTGGCAAAAAGTCTTCAATCCATGATACAAATCTAGGCTTTTTGCTAAAAATAGTAGTGATTTTTTAGAATAATACCAAAAGGGAGTTTCTCTAAATATAAGAAAAAGACCAGAGCAAAAGTAAAAGTTTCTGCTAAGAATATTACCCACCAGATCCTCCTGTAATACAAGTATGTGGTAGAGAATTAGAACATAAGGAATCAAGGAAAAAATATAGTTGTCTACTTTGCACATCAAGTTCATTGTTTTAAATGAGCCTTAGGCAGAAAAGTGGTGTCTCATTTTCTTTATGTTCTTGCCTCCTTGGATAAAGACCCGATTCTACTCCCTTGTACCTTCCAGCGGCTGCAGGAGCTCAGGAAAGCGTGTTTTCCACAGGTCTACCAATTTGGGGTGAATTATCTCAGGCAGCATCTTCAAAAGTCCTATTGCACCAGCCCCACATAATTTCCCTAAACTGGCAAGCATAGATATTACCTGAAAAATGGAAGATAAAAAGTTAATCAACTGCAGGGGTACTTAAAAGCCCCACCTGCCTTTTCCTTTTATCACTGTCCTGGATGCCCTTGATTCCTACATTAGATCATCTTTCAACCAATCATCAGTCTATTTCTTACTTATTTTTTTTTTTAAAGATTTTATTTATTTATTCATGAGAGACAGAGAGAGAGAGAGAGAGGCAGAGGGAGAAGCAGGCTTCCCGCGGAGCAGGGAGCCTGATGTGGGACTCGATCCCAGGACCCTGGGATCATGACCTGAGCCGAAGGCAGACGCTTAACCATCTGAGCCACCCAGGCGCCCCTATTTCTTACTTATTTTAGAGCAAAGCTAATACTTAGACAATCCTCCCCAATTTTCATCTGGGGATAAAGGGGAAAACATATATAGAAACCATCAATCAAAAATAAATGGAAGGTACCAACACTTAGATATATTTATTAATTAAATAAGGGCATGTGGAAATGGTATGATACATATGGGGGAAAAATGATGCATATGGGGGAAAAGAGGAAAGAAGGAAATCTAAATAATAGATGTGGAATTTATTTGAATGGTACTTGGGGATCGAATTCAGTCTATTCTTATTTTAAAAATAATAAATTAAGTTTAACGAGCATTTCAGAGCGAGAAGATAATCTTGCCAGTAATCTTAATGAGTATCATTAGTGGAGCAGAACATTTATTATGCCATTTTAGTGTTTCTTTTGGTTTGGAGTTGCTGTGTAATTTTTATTAACATTTATTTAGAACTGAATGATCTATATTGACCTAAATTTATCCCACATTAGTTATTCATAACTCACTCACCAGAAGTCTGGCCAATAGCTGCTGTGGCGAAGGAAGTTTCACTGGAAAGAGAAAGTGATTTTCATTATTGCTGTGGGGGCTAGAGAAATTCAGATTGGGGTTGGGTATGTAATCAAAGCACTGTAGCCTTTCTGGAAATGAGCCTCTCATAAGAGAAGTGTTTTGCTTTGTTTTTGAATGCACACACCAGCTCCGGTAGAGACGACAAGTGCTGTTGACTCCTTGGTATCATTCTTCTTCCTCTCCTCCGCCATAAGCAAACGTCTGATGATATTAAACAGGTAATCCAGAGTTCCTGTATATTCTGCAGGAACTACAAAAGTCAGGATTCTTGGCCATAGCACCTGGGGAAAACAAAGCAAGATGCAGGGATTTTGGATTCGTCCATGATTTCTCCTTGGTTCTCACTGTGGGTTTCCCTCTGATTTAGAGCGTGTTCTCTCACCTGTTATTTTTTTTGTCTTCAGGCCAAATAAAAATGAAACTATGAAATAAAATCTCTGCACTACACATTCATTTTCAGGTACCAGTTGGGGTGCTACTCAGGGTGTCTGCGTGGGTTTGCTGCTGGAATTTGGCGCAGGACAGTTCTTCCTTTTTTTTTTTTAAAGATTTTATTTATTTATTTGAGAGTGAGAATGAGAGAGCATGAGAGGGGGAGGGTCAGAGGGAGAAGCAG